GCACACTTTGTGTTGCATGAGTGACCGCGATCTGTTTTGACACTTGTGGAAATCGTTTTTTTTTTCTTGAATCTAAATCTAGAGTGCTGCTCGGTTTAACCATATCACACTTTATCTAGGAGACGGCTGCATTTTGATTGGATCCTGCGTGTATTTAAAGGTACTCAGGTACTTTTTTAGAGTTTGAAAAAAAAAGAAAAAGCAAAAAAAAAAAAAAAAAAAAGTAGTGTTTTTTCATGTCTGCCCGATGGCTGTACAGTTGGATATTCATGAGGAAGCAGTTTGACCTCCTGCGGTCATTGATTTGCTCTGATGTCTTTTGTTGAGTGTTTACAGCCCGCTGCACATACCAGCGTACATTAAACAATTAAAGCCTAAATACAAAATGACTATTGGCATATTGCACAAGCTTGATTTAAAGAATCAATACTGAAAATCAATCCCATCTTATAATTACAGTCTTCTGAAGCATTTCACAGCCAATCACGTCTGCAAATGCCGTCTGTGACTCCTTCTAATATTTGATTTTTCTTTAAACTGCCTCCTTCATACAGGGGTCTGCTGATTCAGATAAATCATATTTATATAGAAAATGTTTATATAGTGCGATTATAAATTGATATACATGAATAAAAGAGAGCTTTATTCTTAAAGGTGACTGTGGTGACTCGGTACATTTCAACACATTTCTACATTCTAAGAGTATTTATCTCGTTCAGTGTCAACACAAGATAAACACAGGACACAAATACACACCTACACACACCTGATACACACCTGACACACACCTACACGACGTGTCGTTTTGAACAGAAGTGTACCCGTGCTCTTCTGAGAGAATAATTTTGGGGGGCTCGTCTGTTTTTCAGTCTTTTAAAAAGTGCCACCCCCCCCCCCCCGTGCAGACTGAGGTCTGACGAGTCTCTGTGTCTTTGCTTTGTACTGTGTGGCGTTTGTACAGTGAGCTTGTATTTTTGTACACAGTATCGTTGGTTTTATTGCTCTGATTGACTGTAGAACTCACACCGTGAGAAAAAAATAAAAACTATGCCTGCAAATGTGGACTGAGACAAGTGATAATAAAAAGCTTTTGTTGTTTGATGTCGTGGTCTGGTTTTCTTTGTACGCTGATCTTTGACTCTGGGACGGCAGCAGCTAGAAGCCTCGTGTAACCATGAGACCATGCAGAGGCGCTGCTTGGCAGGCAAATGCTTGGGGCCCCAGTCCAGTAGGGGGCCCCAGACCTGTAGCCTCTGCGCATATTTGAAACGGAGCAGATCGAGGTGGCGCTGCTGACATTTCTTTAAGCCGAACCAGAAAGTCAACTTCTCAGGAATAACGGTGAAAAAAAGAAGTCTCCTGATTGGCACTTTGTTTGTTAGTGTGTGTCTCAGTGTCAGATGGGTGCACACCTGCACTTGAACTGTGTTTCTTGGTTTGTGAGGGGGGGGAGGGGGTGTTCAGCAGGAGTGACACCCTGCTTCACTTCACATCCACTTCACCTGCCTGGTAATGGAACCCTGCCAGGATCCAAGATGGCACCAGCGTGACCACTGCTGGCTTCCGATATGTCCGTCTCTCAGTCAAGTGTTTAATGCAATGGTAAGGTTCCCTTTCAAGGGGTTATCCTAGATCTGACCCACACCACTGCAAGGAAATCTGAACTGATTGCTGTACCAAAAAAAACATGCCTACAGTAAGAACTATTCTCTTTTCTCTTTGAGTCTCCCTTCACGTTTAGCTGCTACTCCGGAGAGTTTTACAGATACACAAGCAATATATATCTAGCAGACATTTTATTTGATCCTTTTTCTTCATGACAAGCTGCTTTCATTTTACTAACTGAGAGATGCTGAGCTGGTACTTATAGAACATGTTGAGTCAGATCATGAGGCTTTATAGTTTTTATATACTTAATATAAAATCTGCATTCTTAAGTGATTTTGGAGGGTCATGAAATGTAAAATTAAAGTCTAAATTGAGTTATTGGGCTTTCATTAACAATCATAATCTCACCAATTAAATGTGCTAATAGACGCAGAATGACAAATAAGTGACTTTTTACCACCTGGATGATTTTAGAGGTTTTAAATGGTTAAAAAACTTTGTTTGTATTTTACGTCTAATTCATAAAACAGGTGCAAAGGAAAGTAATGCACAGTGTCTTGTGTGCAATGAACTGCCCATTTTTCGGGACCAAAACATTGCCATGTACAGTATTTTTGTACGTAAGACAATGTGCAAATGTTTAAATGTTGTTTAAATTGTGAATTTGAGGTTTTTGTGTCTTAATGAATTAAGCTAAGTTTCTGTTATCTTGTGTTATAATGCAGCTATCATTTTTTAAGTTAGAAAGGTCATTCATTGATATGAATGTATCTGTGTGTGTGTAGGTGTGTACATATCACACTTCAGGCCACCCAGCCTGAAATGCCCCAGTAAAAAAAAGATCTGGACACGCCCCTGGCTACAGGCCTTAAGGGAAATAACTCTTAACTTTCATCAAATCAAAACAGATGAGTTACAAAAAAAAATGTGTACAGTGTGTAATCAGACCTGTTTAGTGTTTTGAACCAGGCTGTAAACATGTTCATTTATGCTCACTGGCTTTTTTGAATGTGTGTGTATGTACACAACAGCTGCTGACCAGATTACACCAGCAAACACTGGCAAAAACAATGCTGGTAAACTAGGCTACTAGTTAGCTTGTAACTAGCCAACTAAACTGCTAAAGGACTTTCATCCTTTTAAATTTGTATTTTTAAGTCTTACATCTAAATCCTGATTTTCTATAAGTGATTTTATTGAAAGTAAATACAAACAATGTGAGAAATATGACTTAATGCTGGACTATTAGCAGACTGTTTGTACAGCTTTTAAAAAAAAAAAAAAAACTTTAATTGCACTAAACCGGCTTCAGGTAGGTACTGTCATGTTTTTGGCCATATGTGTTAGTTAAGGTTTTTTTTGGGGGGGGGGGGCTGTCCTCAGATTTGCCTGGTGACCCTTGTTTCACTTCCAGGTCAGCGGGTCCTCGGCACTCCCAACAATGTATCCCTTACAGGAGCTGCTGGCTCTTCATCGGGTCCCTCTGGAGGCTCTAAAAAACACAGTTACCATGGACACAAACTTGACCGGGAGAGCAGTGTGTGTGTGTGTGTGTGTGTGTGTGTGTGTGTGTGTGTGTGTGTGTGTGTGTGTGTGTGTGTGTGTGTGTACGGAAGGAGACGAAGACGGGGCAGGAGAGGGGAGGGGTGCAGGTGCAGTCTGCATGTGTGTGTGTTTCAACTTTAAAAAGCATGACAACATAACGCTTAAGTTTTGCGCAAAGTTTAAAAAGAAGAGCGCATTAAAACCTCCATCCTACCATTGACTTCTGCGGTGCTCACCGCCTGCAGCCGTGCCTGATTGACTGCCAGCAATCTGATCCAGTGAAAGACATTGACAACCAATAGGAAGCGGAGTGCGGCTTGTTTCCATGGGAGGCCCCGGGAGGCGATGCCAAGCCGCTCGAAAGCAACACAGTGAGCGGGGAGAAGCGCAGGCAGCAGCCGGGACTGTGGAGATCCTGCAGCCGACTCTGTAGCCACTCTACACAGCGAGAATCGCTAGGTAACAGTTCTTTCATACTTTCTCTACATTAGAAGTTAAAACTGTGGTTTAAAAAAAAAAAAAAAAAAAAAAAAAAAACCGTCCAGCTCAGCGCGCTGCTCGTTTACGCACGACATTTGCAGATTGTCAACTTAACTTTGCAGCATCGCCGGAGGTGTTGTCGGTAATTTCGGTCTCAAAAGAGTCGCACAAGGTTCCTGAAGTGTGTGTGTGAATGAATGAAACTCCTCTTATTCATGCTCTGTTGTTTGAATACTCGCTCTGTTTGAAGGGTGACCGGACAGAAAGGAGACTCTGGGGACTTTGCAGAGAGCGGAGCAGAATGGATGGATTTCACGACCAGAGAGTGCCTTACTGTAACTCCAAAGTGAGTTATTCCTGACTAGAACAACTTGGAGGCAAATCAGACATCAGACGCAGATCTCTCACCTCATCTTTTATTGTTGTAAATGTCTGTTCTTCTCTCTTAACACTTTCTGATCTCATCTCTCTCTCTCCCTCCCTGCTGGCTGCCAAGACTCATTCCTCCTCAGGGACCGTTTAAGTTTCATTTAATCATCAAAGATAAACAGCCAAACAAGGTGCCTACTGCTATACACAGTGATATTGGTTATGCACCATGTTACAGCTTGTTAATTATATCTGAAGCGCAGGGATCCTTTGCTCTTAGAAGTGTGTGAGGCATCAATGAGAGGCTCATTGAGGCTCTTTCAGTTGCACTTGAGCTGCAGCCAACAACAGAATCACTGCTCCAGCGAGAGAGAGAGAAAAAAAATTGATTTGTGTGTCTCTCCCTTTTTTTTTTTCTTTTTCTTTTTCAGAAGCTGCAAGAAAAGACAACGAGCTGCCAAAGGCAAGCACATGACAGAAAGAGAAAATTCATTAAGTCCGACCTGGCTCTGGACACTGAAGGTAGGCAGAGGGCAGAGGGAGAAGTTAATTTCACGGCTCCTAAACATTTAGCAAAATTCAATTGGTTTGTGGCCACCTGCGCTGCTAACTAGAGAATCTCAATTACAACACGGCGGACTGTGATGATTCTCACAAGCCTCCGTCAGTGGTCAGACACACAAATTGACTTGTTATTAGCCGCTCTGAGCTCCAACGGCTCTGACCGGGCATATCAGCCTGCTGTAATGAACTCAGCTGTTTTTTCCTGATGCTGCTCCTGGGCTTTGACTCTGTTTTTTAACTGCCTTGTTTCTCTGCTTCGTCCCCCCCCCCCCACCCCTTTTTTCCAGAACTCTTCCAGGACCTCAGTCAGCTGCAGGAGACTTGGCTCGCAGAGGGTGAGTGTTTTAAATCTTGAGCAAAAAGAGAAAAAAGGAGGAGGAGAGATGGGTAAAAAAATGGTTGCGAGGGGGGGAGAAAAAAGCAGCCTGGAGTTACTTGCCTAGCGTCGCAGTCCAATTAAAAGCCTGTGTGGAAGAGGCACCTTGTGTGTCATGCATACATTAGAGACTGTGAGCGAGGGGTCTTGAGGGAGACCGAGGAGGCTCTACCCAGAGAGTGTCATCACAAATTACCAGGAGAAGGCTCTCCGACGCTCACTGTCTCTTCTGCTTTTGGCAGGAGCTAACACGCTGCACGCCAGCAGCAGCCGCCGCCACCTCCACCTCCACCAGAGCTCTGCAACCAGCTCTCTCTCTCTCTCTCTCTCTCTCTCCTCACTCACTCTCTCTCTCCCTTTGCTTCCTCTCAGCACACCTCTCTACCTTCTCCAGCTGTACCATCACCTTGTCTTCTTCAATTTCATGTCTTGGCGGCCCCCCCCCCCCCAAAAAAAGAGAATGGATCTATAATTTTTTTTTAAATCGCAGAACCTCCAAAACACCCTGACTCTGTATCCAACAGCAACTTTTTTTTTCTTCTTCTTCTTAAAAAAAATAGTTACCCATTTGGTTTCTTTTCAATTATTTTTTTTTTCCTCTGATGGCAAGACTTGCTCGTTGTGGTCTAACTGAGACGTGATGCTTCAGGATTTAAGCGCCAGTGTCCTCTTTCCAGCGTGTCTGCAGCACCGAAGTTTTGGTTAGTGGTGAACATTGCTTCCTCTTTGACTCTGACTCTGTTTTTATCTGCATGTGCATGTGTTACTCGGCTCCTGAGCTACACTTTTTAAATCAGTACATGACTTTAAAAATAGAACTCGCTTTGAGTAGTGCATGTGACCTTAAAGTTTAGAGTTAAAGTCTTCGAGTTTTAGAGTGAGACGTGGAATATTTTCTGAGTATTTTGAAGACGTTTTGGATTTGCTCTGGTGTTAAAAACAGAAATTCTTTAAAGTAAATCAGTGTGAGAGCTTGAAACAGCTTGGAAAGTTTGATTCAGGTAATATTTAATATTTTAGAATATTAGTATTTATGTGCTGGTAAATCTGAAATAGAACAAATTCACAGTGTCATGTCTTCAAATGGACCAAAGTGCTGATGAAGAATTATATTTTTTAAAACGCTTTGCATCGATAGTAAGCGTCGACGTGCTCCTGCTGCGACATGTTGGGATGCATTCAGTGCAACAGGACAAAGAAAATTGAATTATTTGATGGTTAAACTTTGCCTGAATACATTTACAATTATTTTAAAGTCTTTTTGACAAATTGTAATGCTTTAGAAAAATCTCTCCGAGGTGAAAAAACGACTGCTGGGGTCACTTTTAGTCCCGTAATTAAAAACTGGAGGAGCTTAAAAAGATGAGAACTCACCGATTCAACTCCAGAAATGCAGAAATATCAACGTCTCAAATAATTTTCAAACGCTTTTCATTCTGATGAATATTTCAATTAAGATTTTTGTGTTTTTGTTTTGTTCGTCTGTGACAGGCGGTGCGGCCGTCCAATGACAGCTCGCCCCCCTCGAAAAAATAACAGTAGAAAGAACCCGTGAGTGCTCTGGATGTGAAGCCATAATTCTTACCTCTAAACGAGACGTCTCAAGTGCGTACTTTAATATTTGGGATTGAGTCGTAAAAACATCACCTGGAAAAGTGTCTGGAGACGTTTTTTGGCTCACACAGGTGAACCTGAATCATTCATGGGCTCCATCTATTCTTTAACACATTTGAAAATGCTCGCAGTGCGAATCCAAAGCTTTTTTAAAAAATGAAACGTATGCTCAGAAACAGACACACACACGGGGAGGTGAGCCGCGGCTACATTATGAGACTGGCGCCGCGTGCACCGCAGGGCGTGTAAAAAAGAATAAGACACGATTTAAATATTTCAGTATCCAAAGTGAGAGAAGAAGAAGAAGACGGCGGCGGCGGCTGATGAGAAGTATTACTGTTAAAGATTACAGTTCTGCCTGTCAGGGATCAGTGTGATGATGTGCGCTTCAAGATTGTAGATTTAATGAATGACTTCCTGTCCATTAAGATGAAAAGGAATACCTCCATCGTTTCTGAGATTTATTAGCTCAGGTAATTGGAACAAGAGGACGAATTATGAGAGGCAGACTGAATTTCCGTCTTGGAGAACGAGAAAGTAAAGGGGGGGGGGGGGTGTTCGTCTGCAAACGGACAAATTGTGACACCCAGAAACTCTCCGCTCTGCTCTCCATCTCCTCCCATGATGCATTTCTGCCCCTTAATTTAGCTCCTGAAAAAGTCTGATTTCTAAGAGATTTTCACCTGTAACTACTCACTGTGCTTTTTATACACGTTATTGATATGTTCTAAATATCCCGGAGCTGACGACATCATTTAAGGTTGAAATTGCGGCATGCAGACGTTGAAATTAGTTTTTAAAAACTGTCCCACAGACTCTTAGAGTGTTGATCAGCCTCTCCTGCTCAGGCCTCGAGTTACAACTTCTCCCTTTCCTTCCTCGCTCCTTCTCTTCTACCTCCCATCTTTTTTTGTTTTGTTTCTTTTTTTCTTGTTTTGTTTTTTTGTTTTTTGTGAATGGCGGCAGATTTCCAGCTCTGCCGTTCTCTGCAGGAGTTTGTATCAGGGATGAGCTGGCTCGTTCACAGACAGAGGGCCGGTGACTCATCCATCCTGCTCTTACTTACTGTTTGGACACAAACGCACACTGCACCCTCTCTTCTTCTTTTTTCATCCATCTCTCCTCTCTTTGTCCCCCGACAAATTTTGTTTTTTTGAAGTTTCTGCAAAATGGTTTCATGTTGTGATCATGAGATGAGAGTTCTGCTCCAGTTTTTTGTTGTATTTTTGTTGTGTGTGTGCAGCTTTAAAAGTTGTGGTTTTGACGGGTAAAAATGGGGAAAATATGATTCTTTAAACCTGTTTTTTTAGTCAATATATTAATTGAATTTCCATGCTAATGCTTCTGAAGAAAGCATGAAAGATGTCGAGTAAAACACAAAGATCTTAACCGTTAATTGAAGGCGCTTTAATACAAAATGATATTTCAAAGTGCTGCATACGACGGCTTTAACCGGGGCGAAATCTGGTGGGATTAATTTCTCTCTCTTTGTTTGCTGCACTCTTCACCCGCTTGACATTGTTTGAAAATACGCAGCACTTCCCCATCTTCATGTGCTGATTGTTTACTCGCCTCAATTCACACCTCCTGCGAGAGAACGAGAAAAAAAAAAAAAAAAAACAACCCAACCAACCTCCCTCATCTGATCCAAAGTGACAAAAGTGGAAAAATCTGTGATTTCTGTGAAGATCTCCAGCGTGTCGGGACATGTTACTGATTCTGTGATAATGAGGATCCACCTCGTCGTGCGTATAAATAGACGTGCTAATGACACATTTAAATCGTTTGCCTGAGAGTCGAACTAGAGGGACGTGGAGGGCCGCCGCCGAGAGTAAATATGTGTGATATTAATATGTACATGCCCTAATAGGAGTGGGCTTCATTATTTGAGCATTAACCTGAGTGCAGGGGCGTTGGAGGCGCAGGTGAGGACGGTGAAGCTTTGGAACAGACCCGGCTCGGTGGGTACAGGTGGATTCAGCGGTAGGGAAGAAGCCAATTAGATGCAGGTAACGATGGGAGTTTGGCTGCTGGCACAGAGAGAGAGAGAGGGAGAGTCAATGGACGGGGCGACCTCAGGAAGTGGAGTTAGGAGGAAGGCTGAAATCCTCCGTCCCTCACGAGGCTGGGGCGAGCCGGAAAACACGGGGCGGCGTGCAACTTCTTCAGGAAATCATACAAATGGTGTTCTGCAGAACATGTCAGGGTCTAATTTTGTATATTTTGTTGCATTTTCTGGATGCTTACAGAATTTTTTTTTTTAAATACTAAGTCATAGGCGTGTGATTTTAAGAAAAAAAAAAGGGATCAAATTTGCTTTTTTTTTTTAAAAAACAGCGCCTGCATTTTTTCATTTTACCTTAAAGTGGTGGGATTGTCACACTAAAATGAAAAAGAAATGTGTTAAGAATTTAATTTGTAAAATTTCAGCGGCCGTGAAAATGTCCTGGGGTTTTAAAAGAAAGTGAAATTTTAACAAAATGTTTTCGTCTCCTGCAACTGAAGCTCCAGAGCAGCTCTCAAACACGCCTCATGGTGCGCTTGATTTATTACACAAAAAACAAACATTTTATTGATGATCTTTTTAAAGAGATCCTCCTCGTTTTTTTATTTTTATAATTTGGGTTCAATTAAATATTTTTCATGGGTTGAAACATTTAACAAAAGACAAGAATGATGCGATAACGGGAACATTTTCCCACCGTGACCCTTCCATAAATGCACATTTTAAAAACAGCATCAGACACAAAGTCCTCCTCAACCTGGGTTTTTTTCTTGTAGAACACTTTTTTTTCCCCCCGCCGTGTTCTTCAACAGACAAGCGGAGGCAAACAATGGCGGGATAGGCCGGGATTAGATCCCCGGAGACTGTTTGCCAGAGGAGTGTACGGGACTGCTGGGAGCGCTGATCAATGCTGCGTGTCCATCAACATCACAAACAATCACTCCCCTTTCTTCTTCTTCTCTGTTTGTGTCTGCAGCTCAAGTTCCCGACAATGACGAGCAGTTCGTTCCAGACTTCCAGACTGAAAACTGTGAGTACGAGAGCACGCCGCTCTTTTGACTTTGTCTGTGTGTGTGTGTGTGTGTGTGTGTGTGTGTGTGTGTGTGTGTGTGTGTGTGAGTGAGTGAGTGAGTGTTTTCATGATGTTAATACTCCTGTTTGGGTCTGTATCAACGTGTGTGTGTGTGTGTGTGTGTGTGTGTGTGTGTGTGTGTGTGTGTGTGTGTGTGTGTGTGTGTGTGTGTGTGTGTGTGTGTGTGTGAGTGTTTTCATGATGTTAATACTCCTGTTTGGGTCTGTGTCAACGTGTGTGTGTGTGTGTGTGTGTGTGTGTGTGTGTGTGTGTGTGTGTGTGTGTGTGTGTGTGTGTGTGTGTGTATGAGATGGGGGCGAGCAACAGTGACTGAGCCTCGCTGTGTGTGTGTGTGTGTGTGTGTGTGTGTGGGTCTTTAAGTAGCTTCACCTTTGCTCGCGCTGGTGCTCTCTGGAGAGCTGCAGCAGTCTTGCAGGTCTTCAGACAGGTGCACGGGTCAGGGGGTCTCTCTCTCTCTCTCTCTCTCTCTTTCTCTCTGTCTATCTCTCTCTCTCTCTCTCTCTCTCTCTCTCTCTCTCCCTCTCTCTCTTCTCTCCCTCTCTCTCTCCCTCTTTTCTCTCCCTCTCTCTCTCTCCCTCTCTCTCTCTCTCTCTTCTCTCTTTTCTTTCTCTCGCTCTCTTTCTTTTCTCTCTCTCTCTCCCTCTCTCTCTCTTTTCTCTCTCTCTCTCTTTCTCTCTTTTCTTTCTCTCTCTTTCTTTTCTCTCTCTCTCCCTCTCTCTCTCTTTTCTCTCTCTCCCTCTCTCCCTCTCTCTTCCCCTCGTTCCCCTGCTCCTCTCACCACCTCTGAGATATTATTGCGCCGTGATTTATTTGCATAAACATCAAAATATTGTGGCAGTTTTTTTTTCAGGGTGTTAAAGTGATATTTTTATATCCTTCTAGGCCAAACTGCTGTCTGTGATGGCTGTTTTGATTATTTATTTTTTTTAAATCTTTTTTTTAAAAAGCTCCCAGACGACCTCACCTTGAGGCTTTTTTTTGTGCAAAACCACCCATCGTGGTTAGATTTTCTAAATACAGCGGGGTAATAGTAGTAAATACCAGATTTATCTCGTCCCAGCTGACGGCTCGTTGGCCTTCTGCTTCACTCCCCCGATCTTCAGTGGGGATTTATGCAGCTCAAAGAAGCATCATGTGTCTCTTTTTTTTTTAACTGTAAGAGAATACAGCTAGTGTCTAAGAATACATTTCAAGAGTTTGATAAGCGAGCAGGCTCTCCTCTCTCAGCTATAAGGGACGATGCAGTGCGTCGTATTTCACCTGGTTGGTGCACGCTGGTTGCACACGGTGACTGGTGACTTGGCACGCTCCACTTCTGGAGGAAGTAGTTGCCAAGGTGGGGACAGAAATGGAGTGAGTGGAGCTCAGTGGGAACCTGAGCGAGCACATGTCTTTCAGAGGAGCCAAAACGCCCATAAAAAAAAAAAAAAAAAACTGTGAGAAAAGGCACAAAACAAAGTCTTCCCTGCGTCCTTTAACGTCCTTTAGCCCGCGAGGAAAAGTCGGACAAAATGCACAAGTTAGAAGAAAAAGGTCACGAGGATATCTGCATCGTCGGCTGCTTTCTCTTTTATTTTTTAGTAATTTTAAAAATTGCAGCTTTTACAGAAAGTATGTGGTTAATATTTTTGAAAAAATAGATCGGATGAGCCCCATCTTAGACCTTTTAACCCCGTGTGAGCCAAATCCCTGCTTATTTTTTTTTTACACCTTAAAAAGTGAAACCAGAGGACCTGAGGCGGACAAGAACAGTGTTTTATATCTCACTAACTATTTGTAGGAGTCTTTTGTTGTTTGTGTTTTTAAAGGAGGGGGGCGTATTCTTGTAAAATGTGTTTTTAATTTTCAGAGCCAGATTTTTCAGCTACCTGTCCACTGTTGGGTAAATAATAGCTGGAAGAGTGCAGGAACATGTTTTCCCTGTCGGTGTATTTCCATTCTTCAGTAGAACAACCCCTCGGTGTGAATTAGTTCCCTTCTTAAATTCCAAGATGGAGGCGCGTGGCGGTGTGCAGCAGAGAACCAGAGGTCACAGAGACTGTCCCGTTGTCCTTCAGAGGTAGCCGGGGTGGGTGGCCGCGGTGGCAGGAGACTGCTGACCATCTGAATTGTCCTGTTGGCAAAGCGGCAGCAGACTGGAGAGGCGCTGACAGATGGCGGGAGGGGTGAGGGCACTGTGGTTGGGCGCTCGAGCAGGCATCCCAGCCGGCAGCTCTCCCATATGGGTTTCACCGAGCCGAGAGGTGGAGGGGGGGGGGGGGGGGGTGAAACAGAGACACGGGGGTGAAGGATGGAAAGAGGTGTAGCTGGAAGTCGAGGAGGAAGAGATGAGTCTGAGTGAAGAACGTCGGAGAGGAAGTCAAAGTTAAACTGTTCAAAGCTGTTTTATCTTCAGGGACGAGCCGGGCAGAGAAATAAACACGCCTCGTTAACAGGAAGTCGAGTGAGAAGAACAACCATCAACAATCAGAGCGTCAGTGATTCAGGTTCAAATCCACTAAACGTCATCATCGTCTTCCCTTTTAAGCTGTTTTTTTTTTTTTGTGGCCGATCTTGAAAATTGAAGCGAAATCTCTTTTGAGATGTTTTTCATTTTTAGACTCGTCTTTGAACGAGAGCGCTCATCTCTCCTTTGTCTGATCACACTGGAAGATAAAGAAGGCGTTCACTAATTTTTGTTTTTTAAACTAAAATAACTTTATTGATAACGCACCGTTTAAGAAAACAGATGTCTTCAAAGTGATCTGACAGGCAGATCAAAGGATGAACGCAGGAAAATAAAATATGAAACATCTTTAGCTCGACTGAACGAGAGAGTTCTCTGCAAAATTCAAATTTTAGATCGACAAGAAAAAAAATGTTTTTTACAAGACCTAAAAAAAAAGAGCAAAAAGTAGCTTTAAAAAAAGTGAAAAACTTCTTTAGAGTAATTAAATATAAGAAGAAAGAAGCCGTAGTGATAGAAATATACAGGGTTAACGTGAAGGTTCATTAACTGGTGGATTTGATGATACCTGACGCTCTATTTGGGACGGTATCCGAGGCATTTCCTAATTGATATCAGTAAAGTAAAACTCTATTTTTAAAGTCCGTCGTTCAGCCTGAAACTTCATTCAGACATCATCTCTGTGTTGCATGACTGCCCCCCCCCCCTCTCTCATTTGAAAGAGGGATGTGGGACGGCCTCACGTATCCTGGTTAACGTGTGTCGCTGATCATCGTATGTCTGCTGCAGTCGTCTGTTTTAAATAAATAAATAAGTCAAAGCATTACGATTGAAGAAGTGGAAACAAAAATAAAAGCAGAAATTAAAAACCATAGAAGAAGAAAAAAGATCAAATAATAACTGCAGCCTTTTTCAAAAGTCTAGAATAATGGAGCCTCCATGTGAGTGTGAATCTGAAGTAAACTTAAAGGTAAACTCCGGCACATCGTCTACCCTAACTTCAGCTTTCAAACATTTCTATGCAACGTTTCTGCCTGATGAAGATCTCGTAACTTTAAGTTAGGATGGACACATCGCTCTCCTGCGCTCCCGTCTTATGAAACACATGTGCAAAGGTTTTTTTTTCTAAACTTAACTAAATAGCTTCATACTGAGTCGTCTTGCTTGTTTTAAATTGTTTCTGCATAACTTTTTTTTTTATAGTAAACAGAGTTTGCTCCTTTTTCTTTTTTTAAAAAATTGTAAACGGATGCAGAATCTGCCGAAAATTCTGAAAACTGTCGTCTGTCGCATTAGCCTTCTTGTTGCTAGCTGGTTGCTACGTTGAAAAAAAAAGTGGTGTGGCAACAATAATAGATTTTTTTCTAGAAAATATATTAAATGAGTTTAAAAAAAAAAAGCATGTGATCGAATTATTGAGGAAAACTTTATCTGATAAATACCAAATAAAACATTTAATTAAAATGCAAGCTTTCAAAATGAAAGTGCTAATTTAACCCAGAAATCTTTGTCTTAATATCCGCCATGTTTAACTATGATCTTTACACGAGTTGATTCTTGCATCAGGAGATTTAAACCTGAAGAATCTTGTCTTTAGAGTCTTTTTATTATTCTTAAAAGCTCACATATTTGCTTAAGTTGATCGTTAGCGCGAGAATTAGAGGTGGAAAGAGAAAGAAAAAATCTAAAGACATGGAGGAGAAAATGTTTTTTCTGGTCGTGCCCTCAGATTTATCACCTCTCGGGAAGCTGTGACAGTTTCCCTCAATGTCGACTTCGCACTCTCCATCCATGCAGCACCGAAGCAGCATGTGAGCGGCCTCGGAGCGAAAGTGTCCTCGGGCTGAAGGAGGAGAAGGAGAATTTCTCTTTGTCTCAAACTCCGCCACAGATGCTTACCATTAGCATAACTTAGCAGGGAAGGAGAGGAGTAGAGGAGGTGTAAAATGAGGCCACACGTTACCGGCAGATCGCAGCCTCCATCATTTAACAGCAAAGGCGAGCACCTACAGTAGGTGAAAATGGAATGGAAAAGGTTTGACGCTGCTGCCAAAAGACCTGTATTTTTTTATGAATGGACCGGAGAAATATCTGCCAAACGTAGGCTCTCGTTCTGCCAAAACACACGATTGGTACCTGAGAAAACAACGACGCTCGGGGGCCAAGAGATCTTTGATGATGTACCTCGAGGATTGGCAGAAACATGGCAGTAACATAATAAATAATTAGAGCGACAATTTGTCGGAAAATGTTCAGAAGACGGGTAAATGTTTCCTTTCATGCTCAAACAAAGAACCTTATTTAGCACGTATGACACCTGAGAAAATCTGACATGAGGGGCCAAGAGATCTTTGATGATGTCACACAGGGATGGCAGGAAGTCAGCGGTGAAACATGAAATAATATTTAGAGGAGATATTTTGGGGGACATTTTGCCTTTATTAGAGAGGACAGCTGAAGAGAGACAGGAAACGTTGGGAGGAGAGAGAGTGAGGGAGGACATGCAACAGAGGGCCGAGGTCGGATTCAAACCCATAGCCGCTGATGCAAAGGCTACAGCCTCTGTACATGGGGCGTTGGACATAACCTCTGGGCTATCCAGGCAACCTCTAGAGCAACGTTTGTTTTTGCAGGAAAATGTGGTTAGGTAAATCTTCCCTTTCATACACGAGTCTGAAAAAAGTCAGAAGTCCTGTGCTGAAAGAATTTGCAGAACATTTCTAGAACAAACATTGATTTTTTTTGAGTGAATTTTGTAGAAAATTTTAAAGCATAATTTCTCCACCTTTCCTTGTGCACCTGACTTCTTAAAAATAAACGAAAAAATTTGGAATTTTTAATAAATATTTTATCTGAGAAAACCGAACTTCAGGGCCGAGTGTACGTAGGAGGTGAACTTCAGGATTGCAGAAACAAAATATCTAAATTAAATAAAAAAATTTGTTGCAAAATATAAATTATTCAGTAAATATTTTTCTAATATTCATGACTCAACCAAACCAAACAATGAATAAGATTTGTGACAAATTTAACATTTGAAAACGTAAAGTTTGGGGGGTCGAGACTTCTTTGATAACGTTCCCAAATATTTCAGATGAATTAAAATACTTGGAAGCCGTTTTCTTGTTAGAATATTAAAAATGAAAAAACGACAAGCACACCCCTCAGTTAGTGCTGGGTCCAAAAAAAACACGAGTAGGTAAAGAAAAACAAACAAGGAGCATGAATGATGATGTCGCTGAAACAAACAGATTTATGTTTTATTGAGTAAATACCGAAAAGAGCAAAACAAATAGCAGAATATTTGATTTATTGGTGCAGAAAAGAAAAACACAAGAAGAAAACATTTGCATTCAAAATAGAGCCAGTAATTGTTCTAAGTGCCTCTTCCTTTAAATACCCCTCCCCTCCTCCCCCGCCCCCCTCCCCCCCATCTCGGTTAATCAATACGTAGATAATGAGAGCAATCAAGCGGTGATGGGCATGACATTCTGGACTAAAAAGGAAGTCTCTGTTTTAGTCAGAGGCAATGCCCTCGCTATTGATTTGTGTACCTTGGCACCCCACCGACTAAATCCATTGTGACATTTCCATTTCTAATTCTGCTGCTGCACGCGCGACGCCGATTTGATAGTCGCTTAGACGCGTTTTACAGCCGTTACTCGGACGTGTTGAATAGAACTGTAATAACCAGGACTGTTGTATTGATTCAGAAACACGAGGCGAGCTGCTCTCTCTTCTTGAGGTGAACTCTCGAGCTCTGTTGTATGAAAACAAACCGACTCTGATTGTGATCTGGACGAGCAGAAAATGAAGGTTTTGTTTTGACTCCGTTAGCTGTTAACGAGGCGCTGCCATGCCGCCGTCGTCAAAGGTCTCCCCTCAGGAAGTGTCTCTTTTGACCTCCGATCGATGACCCGGAAAGGTCAGGCCCCCCAGCGAGGGCTGCGAACAACCCCTGAGCTTTGTCACGGCGGGCCCGTGTGGCCCCGTCCCCCCCGGGGGGGCTCTGCTGTGCGTCAGATGGGGTGTTGGCAGATCGACCCCTGCTCGTACGGCAGCTGTCAGTCAGCCGTGAGAAAAACTCCCCCCGAAACATCCTCCTCCTCTCTCCAGCAGCCCCTCGCTGCCTCAGAAACCCTCCTGAGGGAGAAGAATCCCCCCTGACCCCTGAGATCAGGCTTCTCTGGTTGTTGAATGTCTAAATGTTTGCGCTAAAGCTCGACCAGGAGTTCAAGGATTTCCTTCCTCCATTCATGATTTTCTTAATTTCATTTTGAGACATTTTGAAACCGTTTTTTTTTTCTTCTGAATGCAGATTCAGATTCCTGTCTTCATTATTTATCAAGAACTGCTTTAATCCCAGAGTGATCGAATACACACTTCTTTATCTACAGACGCTGTTCTCTTTAGGGTTTTCAATTTCTGAACCTTCAGTTTTAAATTCAGGATTGCAGGATTAGCCCGTTCAAAGCAGCAGGTCCTTGTGGCAGCTATATTATTTATGAGTGTTGTGTTGTCTACTGTTTTAATGAAGAGATAACAGGTGATTTTTCGGGGGGGGGGGGGGGGCAGGGGGCTTTTAAATGATGGTATCAGAAGGTTCATTAACTGGTGGATTTGATGATACCTGACGCTCTATTTGGGACGGTATCCGAGGCATTTCCTAATTGATATCAGTAAAGTAAAACTCTATTTTTAAAGTCCGTCGTTCAGCCTGAAACTTCATTCAGACATCATCTCTGTGTTGCATGACTGCCCCCCCCCCCCCCCCCCTCTCATTTGAAAGAGGGATGTGGGACGGCCTCACCGCTGCTCTGTGTATGATGGTAGCTGCAACCCGAGCCTGACTTCATTCTGACTGACTTTTTGTCTCCGTCAGAGGAGCGGCCGATTGGATTAGCGTTGATCATGACTGGAGATGATGGGATGTTAATCAGGACTGATCAGGCACTTAACAGCCTCTCAGATGCACCGGGCTCGCTGTGGGCCCGTAGGTTAGAGAGCGATATAGCCGCCCCGCTCGCTCCCTTCAGATCAATGAGCCCCTTGTTGTTGTCGTCTGGACGTATTGACAGCCAGCTGAAAGCAGACGGAGACTTTATGAAGGGGCATCGCCGCACACACAGTTTTAGGTTTGTCATATTTCACTAACAGAGTCGCTGTCAGGAGCAAAGACAAACAAACGAGACGTGAAGCGTGTTTTTGAATTCGGCGCCGTGTTCACGTTCAAACTGGTACACGTTTTGTTCTCTGCAACTCTGATGATGAACGTGCAGCGAAGGGTTAAAGACCGACCTGAAGAAGGTGCAAGCCGATTCGTTGTATTTTAAATGTTTCCTGTCCCCTGATTTTCAGACCCTCCTGAGTGTCTCTGGACCTGGATCATTTATACCCATGTCTTAAGTTTGCACCGTCAGTCGTGCAGTCGTCGGCGAGCGAGAGAGAGAGGAACAACATGCAGGATAAGAGCCACAGGCAGACCGGGCTCTACAACAAAATGACTTAGATCAAAGGGGGTGCAGCTACAGTGACCGGCAACAATAGCGTTGATGTTATGGGTTCGTCATGTACATGTCGTGACCATCAGATCATGTGGATGTCATGAACACGATCTAAGTCACTGATGTCATTTGAAAGCCTGAATTTGTTATTGTTTTTATTTTTTCATTTTTGGCATCCATTTAATTGAGGGTGCAGAAATTTAAAATGAGGGTGCAATGCAACCTTATGCACCCTCTTAGAGCCGGGCCTGGCCACAGGTCGGATACAAACCGGGGGTCGCCTGCCTGTAGGACTACAGCCTCCTTATATGGAGCGCCCGGACAAACCACTACGCTACCGGTGCTCCCGGAGAGAAAGTTTCTAAATAGTGAATGGATCAAATGGATGATTTATGACACAGAGTGAAACGCTGACAGACTTCAACATCCTGAATCTGTAGACTCACTTCTTTGATCGTGGACTCCTTTAAACATGGCGGCTTTATTCCTGTGTTATTTATATTTTATTTCATTTTTGTTTTTCTTTACTCGCCTACAGTAACTTGCTGTAAAAAATTATTTAAAAAAAGTTTACATGCATAAAACTTCCTTGTAAGTTCAAACAGAAATCACTTTTACTCTCACTGTTTGGAGGTATAATCAGCACTTCTCTCTTTCTTTCTACATGTAGTGGCTTTCCACGGACTGCAGCTGAAGATCAAGCGGGAGCTGCACAGCCCGTGTTCAGAGCTGAGCTCCAACTGCAGTCAGGAGCGTTCCTTCAAGCTCCAGTATGGAGAGAAGTGTCCGTACAACGTCAGGTAGGAGGCGACGGACACCCGCACAAAAACCTGCACACATGACTCACAAAAAAAACAAAAAAAAAACACAAGACAACAGTTTCAACTGTAGGGCTGTCACAATGCATGAATTACAAACTTCGATATCTGTTTTATCACCATGGCAACACTGAAAACAAACCATCCCTCGCACTTTTATTGCACACTTTATTAGAAAACAATCACAACGTTTCGGCCGCTCATTCTTTTTTTTCTTTTCAATGTGACACTCTGATGTCCTGCGCTCCCGCTTCACGAGACAGCTGGATGTGCGACCACGTCCTTTAAAACATTGTTTCCAAGTTTCTAATATTGGATCATTTTTTTAATAAATACCTCGGCAACATTTTTGGATTTGTGCAATTTAGACAAGAGTGCAGGAGTTGGATGGATCCATTCGTCTTCTACGCACCTTCTTCTGCAATAAATGTCTGTTTTTTTTTTTTAAATCTTCGGCACTATTTTCGATTAAAACAAAAGAGACTGTATCGTTTTCAAATACGGGATCAGAAAGTGTTGTAGCATCCAATTTTTTTACAACAGTTCTACAGCGTGTCTTGTTTCTTTATTCTGCAGCAGAAAAAAAAAACACTTAAATACGTCTATGATGAATCCTGTCCGATTATTCATCTTTGTTTGGTTAGATTTCCTCGTTTCGTCTCTGTAAGGTAGGGACAGATACAATATACAAATACAATCTGAAAACAGCCGTCCAATGCGAGTATCAAGAGTGTTTATGGCGGGGGCTAATTTGCAACACTCGTCCCTAGAAGAGCTTTTGTGTGAATACGAAATAATCTGGGTACAGTTGATTACCGTAAAACACACATTCAGTTGTAATAGAGCTACAAACATTTAACCCAAAGAGTGCATGAGTGCACATCTGTCTCTGAACTAACCAGGATTCTGTGTCTCTCTTAAAATTGTTGAAGTTCACAGTGAGCTTCAGGTGATCAGGTAGCGAGCTCCAGCAATTTTCTTTATTCTGGAGATTAAGGAAACACTTTATTAATCCTCAGGGAGACTTCAGGTTGTTACAGTTGTTCTTACTCACAATATGTCCGTAGAAATATGAATAAAATAAGGAATGTAAATAGGAGATAAAGCTAAGTAGGAGTGTGAAATATGTTGCAGGAAGTGCTGCCCTCTCAGAGCACCGTTTGATGAATCCACTCCTGTTTTTTTGTTTGTTTGTTTTTAAGCCCCTTGCATGTAAATCTAATGACCTTGTAAGCAGAGAGAGCCATCTTGAAACGGTTCCATGTGAGGTGAATCATGTGTGTGATTCACTTCCTAATGAGGATGTGACTCAGGCTCATATAGGAGACAGAAATGGCCGAGAGTAACTTTGACATTACAGCATCGCTGACTGAGATCACTGAGAGGAGGTGTGACGCTCCTTTATGTGTCCGTTAAAAACACGTCAGCATGCGTCTGAGCTGATTTTTGATTTAATGGTTGCACTGTGGAGAGTATGATAGAAGCCCCATTTAAAGAAACATTTTTATAACATATTGGACTCAAAAAAAGGAACACTTTCGTTATATTGAACCTTGAAGAAATTGGTTTAAATCTGAGTTTTTAAAAATGTTAATCCGCTTTCCTCCAACATGGCGCTCTCTGGTTAAATAAGTAAAGTGTTATCAAGTTAAATAGGAAAAGAAAACAGGACTAGAAACTGTATTTTGTTCGTATTAAACACCCATTTCAGTTTCCATCCATTTACTGTTTTTGTTCGGTTGCTATGGATAAAAAATGACCTGAATGTTACCAACGACATAACCTGATTCACAACACATAAAACATAAATCTAATCCCAACCAAGCGGCCAAGTGTAAAATCCTGCAGTTCATCGAGTGTCCACTAGAGGCTGGGCTGCAGAAGCACAGGAAGTCACATACACACCCATTCTAACAGTTTTAACAGCAGATGTTTACAGCCTGGTTAAAAAAAAATCGAATATGTCTGATTAGCTCATGCCTCGATCGTCACACATGGACGGGGGATGACTTTTTGATAAGGCATCCATTTTGATTTTATGAACGATACGTGTTATCTATAGTTAGCTGACATGATTGACAGGTGGGCACCATGAAGAGGCTTAAAACCCGCCTCAGCTCCAGCTCTCAGCCTGTCGTTAGGTTGACTGAAAGTTAGACTGAGACAGCATTTCCAACATGGCGGCTGCTGCCGATGAGCCTATATCATATAACACAAAGTATTTGACATATTTTGGAGGTTTAAAATGCTTCAGTCATATTTAACTCTCTTCTGATTCCTACAGTGCCTACGAGCAGAAGCAGCCTGCAGCAATGAAGCCCTCCAGCCCAGTGACGCCCCCCTGTAGCACCCCCGTGTCCCCGCTCCATCATGCCTCCCCCACGGCGGCCCCGACTCCCAAGCCAGACAGGACCTACGCCCACATACCGCCCTCGCAGCCGCTCGCTGACAACACCTACTCTATGGACCACAGGTAGAGCAATGAATAAACATTGAAAGAGTGATACATAACTAATAATTTCAATTAAAAGAAATATGGCATTTATGCTTTATGTGTCATTGAAATGTCACAAGTTTTTAATTCTACCTGAGCTATCATAGGTAGAATTGTTATAGATTTATTCTTGGGACTTTTGCCTTTATTCGAGAGGACAGTGGATAGAGCAGGAAACTGGAGAGAGAGAGTGAGGAATGACATGCAGGCAAGGAGCCACAGGTCGGACTTGAACCCAGGCTGCCTTCTTGAAGGAAAACAGCCTTTGTAAATTTGGGCTCAAGCTAACCGCTAGGCCATCTAAGCCCCTTAATTTTTACATTTTACGCTGGTGGTGCACAGAGAATATCATGTCAGTTTTAAAAGTGTTGGAGCTTTCCGTCTAAGGGTACAAAGTATTCACCCAACCAGTTGTTTAGAGAGTTTTAAAGTGTTACGAGGTGGATTTTTTTTTTGTCATTTTACCTTTGAATAGAGCCAGGCGAGGCAGTTTTAATGCTAAGCTAATTTAAGCTTTAAGGAAAAGATTCAAGATTTAAGAGCCAGTATTTTCATTTATTTTAGAATTAAACCCAACATAAGGTGATATTAAGCTAGCCCAAAGTTTTCGCTGAATGAACAGCAGCTGTGTTTCTTCCACTGTCACTCAACCTCGCCTGAATTTTTCCACATTTGTCAATTAAATTGAACATTTTAGGTTTCTGATGGTCCTGTCGAATTTTCTTCAAATTGGTTATTTCTTTGAGCGTGAGAGTTCAATCCTGACCTCTTCGATTTGTACAGAATCGAGCTAACTGAATATGTTGAATGACACAAACATTTATATATCGCAGCTAAACTGAAAAAAAAAAATCTTTAGTTTCAGCTTTTAATTGTCATTTGTTTCTGCTTTTCTTTGTCCTATGTTGAAGTTAAGGGGATATTTAAGGGGTTTGAAGCAATATGAAGATGTAAGGAGAGTTAGACGAACATTTTCCGATCATTAATGGTTCAAAATAATCTATAATAAGGTGCATTGATGTTTTCTTTCACCTCTTGAAGTCTTCAATCCATCTTAATATAAATCCTGTATCAGGGATTTTGAGTTTAAATCATTTTGTGACTTAATTCAAAGAATTTGTGTCGATGTTGAACGACTTCTGCCATGCAAACTTCACTCCTCCTGCAAACTGGGTCAAAGAAAGTCTCTGTCACTGCCTGACAAAGATTCTCTGCGATCGTCCTCAGGTTTCGCCGCCAGCTCTCCGAGCCGTGCCACTCGTTCCCCTCCCCGCCGACGATGGCTCGGGACGGCCGGCCCATCTATCACCGGCAGATGTCTGAGCCCAACATCCCCTTCCCTCCTCAAGGCTTCAAGCAGGAGTACCCCGACCCCCTGTTCGAGCACCCGGCCATGATGGGGGCGCCTCTACCCCACGCGTACCCCCCGACCATGATGATCAAACAGGAGCCGAGAGACTTCACCTACGACTCAGGTGAGCAAAGCTGCTGTGTGTCTCTAACCTCTGTGGGAAGTGAAAGAGCTTCTGCAATCATTTCAGGAATGGGAGAAGACCGCCGACGATGGCTCGGGACGGCCGGCCCATCTATCACGGCAGATGTCTGAGCCCAACATCCCTTCCCTCCTCAAGGCTTCAAGCAGGAGTACCCGACCCCTGTTCGAGCACCCGCCATGATGGGGGCGCCTCTACCCCACGCGTACCCCCCGACCATGATGATCAAACAGGAGCCGAGAGACTTCACCTACGACTCAGAGTGAGCAAAGCCTGCTGTGTGTCTCGTAACCTCTGTGGGAAGTGAAAGAGCTTCTGCAATCATTTCAGGAATGGGAGAAGACATGAGAGAAGGTGGGGGGGGGGGGGGGGGGGGGCTGTTTATTGAGTTTGCCCATTATTAGAGCAGGGGATCTGGTTGGGCCGGGTGTCTGCGCCCGGTCGCCATTTCCTGTGGAGCTCTAATAGAAAAGAGTGGGTGGAGGGGAGGGGGGGGGGGGGGTATGCCTGGTCACAATCCAAAAAAAATCCGCCCTCCCACGCCTGTCCTTTACTTAGAGAGCAGAGAGAGAGAGAGCTAATCATCAGCCCGCGGCCTCAGCGGCGCCCGAGGCTACATCACGACATGAATGAACATACAGCGGACCACCGGTTCATTCACAAGGCGGACAGAGAGGACCCAGGAGAGTCTGTGTGAGCAGTCAGGGAGAAAACAAGTCTCAGAGGGAATCTGTTGTGTGAGAGTTTCTTTGTTTGGTTTTTTTTAAACCAGCAACTCAGTTAGGAGTCTGTGTTCCTCTCAGAGACTCAAAGAAACCATGATGTTTGGTGTTTGCTGTCACTTTCCAGTCGCTGGATTGTTTCACCACGATTCACAGTTTCACGGGAACATGTGCTGTCACGCTAATGAATAACACCAGAATGTTTCAGGGTAAAAGATTGAGACAAACCTGCAGTCTCTGTAGCCGTCAGGTTGTAGCTCAGTAGGATGGGACACTTGATTAGGCCGTTTAATTCAGCTACTGTCTGCGTCCCGGTACACAAGCACTGAGGGAGAATCGATTTGACTGCGCTACGGTATTTGGCATATGCCGCCTTCCTTTTAGCTACTTTTTGGACCTTCTTCTGGTTGACCTTTAACGTCACATACTAAAAGAATCTGCAGACAAATTAGTGAGTGACAGACCGGATGAATGTTCAAACATTCGCTGTAGCCCTCCTCATGTTGATATCCTTTTTTTTAAAGATATATTTTGGGGATTTTTGTGCCTTTAATGTAGAGATAGGACAGTGGATAGAGTCAGAAATCAGGGAGAGAGAGAGTGGGGAACGACATGCGGGAAAGGAGCCACAGGTCGGATTCAAACCTGGGCCACCCGCTTTGAAGACCATAACCATAACTTGTTTTTCCTCACCGCTTTCCTCTACGTGTTTATGCCGTTCGACTTTGAGGCTGAAGCATGGCGTGGGAACTGGCCGAGCATGTTCAAAGACGATGAGGCTCCGGCTCACTGTCAGTACAGCTCAGTACAGTACAGTACAGTACAGTACAGTACAGTACAGTACAGTACAGCACAGTCCATTACAGGACAGTACAGTACAGTCTATTACAGTACAAAACAGTCCAGAACAGTCCAGTGTATGCTGATGGAGCATCAGGGTGGATTTATCATCGGTGCAGCTCGTTGACTGGAGCAGGCCTGTTGGGAAGGATGGGAGGGGAGCTGGTAATTTCATTAGCAGCAATTTCCTCCACATGGCCATTACTTTGATGAAGTTCAGAGAAATGTTTATGGGCCTAGATGAAGGGCTTCAGTCTGTTTATTGAACATTCACTTTGTAACCTGTTTTTTTTTTTATGTCTGTGTTGTGGGCGGTTCTGACATGTGCACTTAATGGTCGAGTCAATGTGACCTGCTGTAACAACAAGCTCATGTACAGAAGACGTTCTTAGGGAATGATGTGATTGGAATGGTGACAGAATGGTGTCTACGTCAACAAACTAATTAATGAAAGAGATGCATCCCCAATATTTAAATGTTTACATTTCCTGAAAGTTCTGCTTCGTTTACTGAGTCACATTAGACTGAGTGTGTTAGCATGCTAATGTTTTCAACGGCAAAGATTCTCCTCGTTGAGTGACACATTTAACAGAAAAGGGCACGATGAACTTGTTTGAGGGAAAAAAAACGGACTTACACATTTACAGGACTAAATCAGCAAAGCGATAAGAGGTGCCGCTTTGGCCACAGGGGGCGCCAAATCAACACAAACAAAAAAGTTCCTCATTGGAGCTTTATGGTTTTTTTTTTATTTGTGTTTGTGTTTTGAGTTTTAGTCATATTTACTGATGGAGGTTTGGCAATATAGACATCAAAACCATCTTCGTAATTTGGTCACTAAACCCATAAATCCATCCATTATCTTCCGCTTAACCGGGGCCTGGTCGCGGTGGCAGCAGGCTAAGCAAGTTGCCGCAGACGTCCCTCTCCCCAGCAACGTTGTCCAGTTCCTCCTGGGGGGATCCCGAGGCGTTCCCAGTCCAGAAGGGATAAATAATCCCTCCAGTGAGCTCTAAACCCCGCCCACTTAAAACCAAGAAGAGTTAAGATGCAAAATATAGCAATTTCTCTGTTTCACAACGATGATCTGAGTTTAGCGTCTTCATGTAGGATCCAACTACGCAGACAGAACCAGGTTAGGAACATTTTCTGGGACTTCAATTTATAAAAAAAAAATGAAACTAGCTGTGAGCTAACGTGCTAGAGATAATGTCCAGTGGAAGAGTCAAAGAAACCAACACCTTCAGGTCCATGTAGTTCTGATATGAACGAGAGAGTAAAATCTTAATCTTGAGCCGCACATTGTAAAAAAAACATTACATCATGTGAGCTTGTGCTTCCACACGAGCGTCCGTGTTTTAGTAGTAAATCTTCCTGTGAGTGGAGACGCTCAGAGCGAGTATTAGCAGTGTGGTACCGTGAGCTCGCCCTGTGGCTGGGAGCCATCGCGCGGCCGACCCCCCGGAGGGCTTGTTCTTTAATCAGAGCCAGTGGTGCATTGAGTGAACAAGCTTTTGACTGCTCTCAGATAACTCACAGTGTTCTTAATGCTGCCTTCGGGCCCTTTAACACCCACTCTCCCTTTCTTGCCTGGCTTTCAGCAGAAGTGCCTAGCTGCCATTCTGTCTACTTACGGCAAGACGGCTATCTGGCTCACACCAACAGGACTGAAGGTACCGACGACGATCCCGCTGAATGTTGTGGTGATGCACGTTTGGATTTAAGAGGGATTTTATATCAAACACTCCTTTTTTTATTTTTGTTTTGCAGGTTGTATGTTTGACAAAGTGGTGAGGCATTTCTACGATGACACCTGCGTCGTGCCTGAGAAGGTCGAAGGTGAGTCCTCCCGTCCTGTGCCTGTTTGGATTCTAACTCCTGCACAGAAAAACGTCTCCCTGTGCAGTCGCGTTGAAGCTCCATGCAGTAACGGTGCTTTGAAAAAAAATTGTCCCGTAGGCGACATCAAGCAGGAGACGGGTCTGTACCGCGAGGGTCCGTCGTACCAGCGCAGAGGCTCGCTGCAGCTCTGGCAGTTCCTGGTGGCTCTGCTGGACGATCCGTCCAACTCGCACTTCATCGCCTGGACCGGCCGCGGCATGGAGTTCAAACTCATCGAGCCGGAGGAGGTGAGACTCTCGCTGCAACACAACCCTCACATTTAAAAATGACTTATCGAGCAGACCAATCAGCAGGCCACCGGCGCCCCAGTGTGCAAAAACCTTTTCTTCCATTTTTGATGGATTCATTCCTCTCCTGTGAGCCTTCTTATGAAACAGATGTAGTCTTATTAACGTTTCTGTCCTTTTTCGATATCGTTGATCATTAAGATAGCAGAGATTGTATCGTTTTAAAACACGTGGGATCAAAATGAATCGAAGTACTGATGATTTTGACGACCTAGGATGCAGCTGGGTAACAGTCATATCTGTGCCTGGTGGAGATGTTTCTCAGTGTGTTAAAAAAAAGAGGAAAAAAATGTAAAAATGATTCTTACAGGTTTAAAAAGATCAAATTTAAAAGGTCATTTGAAGAGGTGTGATTTTGGTTATCTGTCCTTGAAGTGGCTCAATCAGGTCTATAATATTTAAGATATTTATTTTCCACTAAACCACATCCATCCCGCTGACCCTTCAGGCAGTCCTCTGCTAAATATTCCACAGGACGTATTCCTGAAAATAAAAACATGTCGACGGTTGAGCCTTTTGAAATGGAAACAGAGGCCGGGTCTGTGTGCTCGCCCCCATCTCTCACACACACACACACACACACACACACACACACACACACACACACACACACACACACACACACACACACACACACACACACACACACACACACACACACACACAGCGAGGCTCAGTCACTGTTGCTCTCTCTTTCGGGGGTGGGGCAGTGGGAGGATGCAGGGTGCAGGCAGGGGGGCTTGGAGATAGAGGGGTACCTGGCAGTGGTCCATGCAGCCCAGCAGAGCGTAGAGGCCCGGGCCAGCTGCAGTTAACAGGGGGGCCCATTCATGCCATCAAGTGACCAAACGTTCCCGCTTTGGGACGCCGTGGATATACACGTTAGCTAGCTGCTCTACGGGCCGTGCGTAGAGCCACACCAGTATAGACATCTTCTGTATCTGCACATTTTCAGGATTATTTTAATATTTTTGTTACCTGCTGAAAGACGGCAGATGTCATTTAACATCCTTGCTAACTGTAAAATGTTTGTGCCAAAAGGGCCTTACTTTGTTTCAAAATAAAAAGCACGGTTGAATTCAAACAGCAAGTAAAGTTCTCTCAGATTTAGACAGGACACACTTTCAAAATAAAAGCCCAACAATTTGTATTTTAAATGCGGACAAATTGAATTTCAAACATGCGATTAAAAATGTGATTAATCTCTCCGTTTGACGGCCCTACTTTATATTTATCGTCAACAAATTCTTGAATTGAACAATTTGTGTTTAGCTTGGATAGCTCATGCTACATATGCTGCAGTGCACAGATGATCGTAAATATGTCGCAGCTCTGTTTTTTATGGAATGACATCATTTCTTCAGTATTGTTTTCTGCATCATTTTATCATTAGCAAAAATTAGCACTAATATGTCGGTCTATTTTGTTGTCTCCATTGTGAGTTTTAGTAAAGAGGGTTTTTTTGGAAAAACTGATGAATGAACAAAAGGAGGGAAGAGAAAGAGAGGAGAGGCGATAAGCCGAGTGAAAGCCGCGGAGGAGAATCTGAGGAGAGCTCCGTGGGGCTGTGGGTTGTCACTGCAAGGCCGGGTGGTGGGTGGTCTGGTAGACAGGTGCTGTAACATCTGCTGCCTCCTCCGCTGGGTGTGTGACAAGCTCCTAATGAACACATCCCTGGTCAGGTCTGCCCGGGCTGGACGCACTCTAATTACTGTTATTAGCAAAATATGGATTAATAAGTTTGTTTAACATTTCAGCTACCGTGGCGGTGTTGTCAGGGTGTCAGGCTGTGCGTGTGTGCGTGTTTGTGTCTGCTCTTGGACTTCCTGCTCTTTGTTTCTCTTCACTGACTGACTCTGTTTGTTTATCTGTGTGATACAAAGGTGGCTCGTCGGTGGGGGATACAGAAGAACCGACCAGCGATGAATTATGACAAGCTGAGCCGATCTCTGCGCTACTACTACGAGAAGGGAATCATGCAAAAGGTATAAAAAAAAACAATCTTTGAGGACATATTATACTGAAATAAAACACTTAATAAGATGCTTAAACAATGTTAGCATTCCCTTAACTTTCTATTAAGCACAAAATAATCACCATTTAGAGACGACATTTTCAGCAGGTGTCCCCAATGATTGCCTGATTGATTCCACCTGAGCGACTGCTCACTACACCTCCTATTTGAAGCTTTTAAAAGGGGGGAGAGCAACAGATAAAGGAAGAGCGAGGCTTTCAAATGCTCCTGTGAGCACTGCACTTTGTGTGTAACGGTGAACGTTTCTCAAACTCCAACTTTAAAATGTCACCAAAAAGATTATCAAGAAATCTGAAGGTAGTCTTCTGAGGAGGTCCCGGTATAGAGCTCAACAGTGAGCGCTTTTGGTGGCTCTGGTTCTGGAAGTATATTTTCACATTCAAAATCCTCCATTGACATTTGAGAAAATCTGTGTATCAATATTTTCAATCAAGCCAACCAGCTTCATGAACAATTGTGACTATTAAACATTTGAACTGGTGCAAAAAAAAAAAGGATTAGAAATCCGAGTACGGAAATCAGAAGAACAACTTTACAACTCGGAAACTGTGACCATCCGAGGAGCACCTGAATGCAGCAATAAAAACAACCTTCTTTCTCCATTTATATGATCTAATCAGGCCTACAATTCTCCTGTGTTGACAGCTGTAGTCAACATAGTTTTGTTTATGAGGATATAATGACGTTACCATGGTGATCTGAAGACTCGCAGCTCCCACTGCTCTGAATCATGCGTCAATCGAGTTCTGCAAAGTTACAAATATTTGCAAACTGAAACCTCTTGATTCATGTTTTTCTCGCCTCTGTCCACTCCGTCCCCTCGTCCTTCCGTGCAGGTGGCCGGCGAGAGATACGTCTACAAGTTCGTGTGCGACCCCGAGGCCTTGTTCTCAATGGCGTTCCCCGACAATCAGCGGCCGGTGCTGAAGACGGACATGGAGCGGCAGATCAACGAGGAGGACACGGTGCCGCTGTCGCACTTTGACGAAAACATGGCCTACGTGCAGGAGGGGCCGTACTGCCAGCCGCACCCCTACAGCGAGGGCTATGTTTATTAACGACAGCCCCACACACACCTCCTCCCTCCTCCTCTGTACACCTGAGACTGTCATGTCCTCTAACTCACCGTCGCTCCGGGAATAAGACACACACACACACACACACATGCAGCGGAGCTCCCCCTCTCCCTCTCCCTCTCTCACATGAACACGTTTCTTTTCCTTTGCTCTTGTCTGTCTGACGTTGAAGCGGCACAGCAGGATGGAGAGTGCACTTTATGGACAGGACCGGCTCGGTGTTAGCCTGCCCCGGGGTCAGCAAAGCTACGTGGTTGGCTTTTTACAGTTGTTTGTGTTTGCACATTAATGTGGGAATCCTTCTGGTTTTTTTTTTTTATTCTGATGATTTTGAGCATGTAGCGCCCTGCTGAGACAGGACTCACCTACCTGGACTTCCTGCTAAAGAAACCGTCTCATCTGCTGGAAGGATGATCCTTTTTGTCCTTTAGCCATCCCGTACTTTGATGCTCATTTAAAGTGCATACTGGCAGCGTATTGTATCCATACTTTTACGGTGAAGTGACTTGATTATAGACTTGAAAATGTGATAATAAAAGACATTTAGCCGCCTCGCCACTGAGTCTGAGCACAGCACCTCTCGTCTGTCCAATCAGAACTGTAGACCTCATCATGTAGGTGTTTTCTGCTGGATGGATCCATCGACCCGACGGCTGAGAAATCCTCGTGAAACTCCAGGGTGCGAGGATGACCTCGAATGGAAATCACTTCCTCCGGCTCACATGTGAACGGCGTCTGTTTAGGATAATCAATAAAGCTCCAGGCCTCTGTAAAATAACTCTTACGGTAATTCACTGTAAACAGACGTTTCCTTTTAGTTTTCTGAAAGACATGAAAGCAGCAGTCATTATTTATCTACCAGGTGTTCAGATGTCTGATGAATAACAGGTTGAGAGTGTTTGTACAGGGAAGTTGGAAAACAGCAGTTAACAGGATATTATTTGCATCCCTAAATACAGAAAAAAAAAGTGATTTTATTGGCTGAAACAATAAAAAGTGAAGGAAAAATCAATCATCAACTGAAATATTTCCCTGATTTTGTTTGTTCCTGTTCAGCTCCAGGTGAACACAACGTGTATATTTATGAGTTCTCATTGGCAGGGTTGCTTTTTGGTTAAAAAAAAACAAAAAAAATATATAAAGATGAAAAAAAACCGAAATATTTAAAGTTTTTATAATGTGATGAAAATAGTGTTCCATTGTATAATTGGGTCGATGCACATTTTGTTGCTGCTTAAAATTGCTCGTGTTTTATTTTAAGGTAAAGAGAAAAAAAAGAAAAGAAATGCAGCAGGTACGGAAATGCTATTTTCTTTGTTAAAATTTCCTTTTTTTTTTTTTATCGAGCATTAAAAGAAGAAGAATCTGGTCCGTCTGTTCATCAACCTTCACGTGTATGGGCTGGGATTGGCAATAGCGAAACCTTGTGTAATAAAATAGCTCTGAAAAACAGTTTTTGCTACTTTTGCAGATGTTTTATGATGTCGTACATTAAGTTTTATTTGCCAATTTTTTTTATTTTTTTTTTCACACAGGCAGCGCCATCCATGTAATGCATTTGATAGAGAATAGAGATGCAGGGATTGTGAAAATCAGGGCCAATTGCTGGCGTATATCTGCGATAAAGTTGGCCAATACCGATAGTCACTGGATTGGCTAATATCGGCCAATATTATCGGCTGGACGATTTATCGGTCAGGCTCTTCCCACAATGTTTGACGATGAAAACAAGTCAGAGTTGATCCAACAGGTGACTTCTTCTGCCCAATAAAAACCCTCATCTCTGAGTCAGTAGGTAGACGTCAAGATGTCAGCATTAAATTGATTTGGCACAACAAATAAACATCGTCTACTGTCACATTATTTTGCCAATGTGCCGATGTCTGTCAGCAGGGCTAATATCGGCCAAAATCGATTTTGAAACGATGTGTCGGTGCATCCCTAAATATAAAACACAATACTGGGGTGGTTTTCATCCCCTTGCTGCAACATTCATCACTTTTTCCTGGGAAGAAACCAGCAAGAAGTCATTTTACATACTTGAAGTTACAAACAAAATAGAAAAAACACAAACCAAGCAATGAGACTAATAGATGATGCTCTCTTGTCAATTTCCAGGTTGGAGAGAAAACTCCAGACCACAAAGCATTTAACCAAAGTGACACCTAAGAAAAAAATCAATGGCTAATTTAAGAGCCCACTTTCTCATGCAGGTGAATTGTTTCTGTCCTTTTGTTACGAGACTGGCAGTAATGAAAAAAAAAAAAAAAACCCAAACAGGAACACTCCCTTAAAAGTTATTATTTCCTTCTGTAAAGTGTCACTACTGCTGAAAATCAATGACTAATTTAAAGCAGCATTGTTTAATTGGTTCCACTGATGGGAAAAATGAAAACGGATGTGTAAGTAATGAAAAAACACCACTTGCCTTAATTTGTCAGAGCAGGTTACAAGCCAACCCCATTACCGTCCCCACGCGTACGTTTTTTTTATTGATTGTCTGTAGAGGAGGGAATTGCCCTTAACTTTAAACACCTGATTGCTTCCCTGAGGAGATTCAACAACATCTAATCCGACATGTACAGACCAGAAAACAGCACTGAGGCTTTTAATATGACGAATGAGACTTTCTTACTTACATACCGTAAAACTTCAAATAAAAGCTCATTCAAGACCTGGCCTGGTGTTTCTGCACGTTATGATGATAAAGGCGGCTCTTTATTAAGAGGACTCGATGCATTTAATGGTGAAATAGTTTGTGGAGAAAAAGCAGCACAGCACAAAAACAAAGATGAACAACATCTGTCCAAGAGAGACAGATGTAAAAGTTAAAAATCTCCAGCCAGCAAACAGAATAAATATTTATTTTTACAGTAAATTAAAGCGTCCAACAGTGTATAATATAGATTGAATTAGCTTCAATAGACAAGGCTGTAGTGCAGAATTTATAGTTAAATGTTTGTAAAGTAAATGGTAAATGGACTTGAGCTTGTTTAATTCTTTCTATTCTCTGACCTCTCAAAGCTCTTTTTACACCGCAGGTCACACCTACACATTCACACGCTGATGGTAGAGGCTGCTGTGTCAAGAGTCCATCAGAAGTAACTAATCCATTCACACACATTCATACGCCAACAATGAAGCAGCGGGAGCAACTTTGGGTTAAATGTTGCTCTGGAAATTTGTGTTAATTACAACACAGAGCCAACAGTCATCTTTCTGAGAGTTTAATTCAGGCCTTTTTGAATAAATCTCCGTTCTCTCCAGCATGAAATGACGGAAAAGAAAGAGGGGCAGAATAGAGGATATGTCGGAATAAATACAGTGCGTTATCTTGACCTAGTTACACTTTGTCTCTCCTGAGACAGAAAGATCAGTGGTTTGATAACACATAGTGGTGATACGTCGTAGGCACAGTCAAATGTGAAATGAGAGACAGTGTGACTTATGATATGATTAAAGAGGGAGAAAAGATGTCGAGTGAGAATTCCCATCATAGGACACAGCAGACTTGTGGCAGCAGGAGCCGGGGATCAAACCCGCGAACTTCCAGTTGAAAGGCAACCAACTCTACCAACTGAGCCACAACCGCCCAGGACAGCACAGCAAAATCTTATAGTTCCACTTTTTATTGCCGCAGACGCTTTGGTCAATGCCCTTTTTCAGCGGCTTCAGACGAACACACTCAGACTGACGGGTCACTCGCAGGTGACACGTATTAGTCGGCTAAGAGTCTAGGCTGCTACAGCACATTAAGAATTCATAAATCAATACTTATTGTAGAATTTTAAAACGGTTGAAAGGCCTGGGGACATTTTTCCAGCACAGAGGATGCTTCTGCAGGTCTTAAAAAGGATTAAATTAAATTCTGTATGCAGAACTTTCAGTTAAAATTTGTATTTCAGCATTACTTTTAAAGCTCTTAATGTTAGTCCTAACTGTGCTCTCCTGTGGTTGGTCTGTTCTGTTTTTATTCCAAAGGGTTAATAGCTAATTGGGGGGGGGTTGAGTTCTCTGCCTCCAAAGTCCCGGTCACAAACCAGTTCAGTCCTCAGAGTCTGCCTGTGGTTGGACTTTTGCAGTTCAAATGATCTTCACGGTTACCAAGCAGACACAAATGACTCTGGTTTTATTCAAACTCCCATCATTGAAATCTCATGCAAACGCCTCGCTGCTTTAAATATGTGGTGAGCTCTTCATGTCAGCGGTGAGCTGCTGCTGCTGGTTACTGCAGAGTTTTACACCTTGTTTGTGTCACAGAGTCTTAAGGTAGGATTGGATGTGGATTGCGTCAGGAAAATAGCTTCTGCCCCAGCAGTGTCCACTTTTAAGAAGAGAGTCCCGAGACGAGACGAGACGAGACGAGACGAGCAGAAGAAGAAGAGGGTGTGTGTTCATGAGATCCTCAGGGCCCTAACCCTAACCCTTAGCTTCGTCCAGGAGCTACAGGTCTCTAATCACCGCTCCACATGCACGACACACATTTCTGCTTCTGTTTTAAACTCACCTGGTACTCAAACTGTGGGATATTTGTGGGTCTTTACAAACCAGATCTCTCTATACGATGTCCCGATCGATCTGTAATCTAGAGTTCAGGAAAGTGGTAAACCATTTGTCTGGATCTGATCTGATTCTCCTATCTCCTATTGGACGCACGAGGTGACAGATATGCTCTTGTGTGGAGCAACACATAGACAATGAACAGGCTTGACAGCGGCGACTGCATACTATTTGAAAGGCCCTATAAGTCGTTTAAACAGAATTCACTCCGGAGAATTCCTAGAAACTTCCAGCACATTGTTCACACAAGCACGTCACAGCTGGAGGCAATCGCTGTCGACAGGTAGGGGGAGTTGATCTCATGAGGAAGGACATGACATCAGTAACAGCGTCCAACGCTGTTATGACAATTGTTGCCTTTATATCAGTGCTACTGATACAACAGCGTCTGTCGGTAGCATCATTTAAACATCTTCATCAGCCCCTCCCCCTCACCTGTTGTGAATTTTCCTGAATATTTCCAGCTTCATTCCTTCGTTCATGTAATATTTAGTAGGGGGTTGGCAGGAAAAAGTCGAAGTTAAAAATACGGCTGTTTCCTTTCACAGAATGGGCTCTTAAAAACTTCAAGAAGATTTCAGGAATTTTGTGCGAAAGTGTGAAAGCACAACTAAGGTCAAGTTGACATTTTGTGACTCGTCAGAGGAGGAAAGTATACAAGTATCTTGTATACATGTATCTTCCCGAATCTCTGTACATTTTAACACAAACATCTGCACTTTTTCCAAACCGACTGCTCTCCGTGCATTGATTGGGATTATGGGGAATTGTGCGTGCTGCCTTCCATTCACAATGACCAATCTCACCCCGAATGGATTGGAAAATAACCACTTAGGTAAATAATGTGTGTCCCTCTGCCACCTCTGTTTGTCTTGCACCTTTTTGAAGACGCTGTGTCACTGAGGCTGAAAAAGTCACTGTGTAAATCCTGTTATCTGACCGCCCGTTCAGAGGATCAGGGCCTCGGCTATCAGCATATTCACCACTTATGCACATATGCTTTACATCCTGTGCTGCCGGCCAAATCCTCCCCTCCTCCTCTGCAGCACTGCCGGCTAATAATCGGACTATCTGAACTGTGATTCTGCTCCTCCCCCACTGTAACAAACAGATGGCCGCTTGATTCTTGAGTCATCACAAACCCATTACGGGAGTGACTTGTCCTCAGCCCGGCCGCCTCGAGTCCATGTGCGATGGCTCTCGCCGCTGTTTGCTCAGGCTCTTAAGTCATCGTCGTGCTCGGTGGCACGCCGTGTTTGCTCAGGTTAAATGGCTCGTGTTGCTCGCGGAGTCCCCCCTGATTGGCTGTGACACGGAGGTGTTTGACGAGCGAAATGACACCCAGCAGCCCCCCTCTCCCTCCTCCTCCCCCCAACACACACCTCCATGTTTGGCTGTTTGAAACAAGTTGGCCTCTAATACACCGTGTGTTTACACACCAAAAAGCACTAAGTGTGTTTCTATCTGTGTTGCCAGGGTCTATCAGGGGCCGGACCAGTGAGCATAAATCATTCAGGGGTAATTCAGAGGAACAACAGAGGCTCTAAGAGGAAGAAACCGGGAAATTATAAAGCTTCTATAATGGAGGAACCTATTACAGCTGCTTGTCCAGTTTAAGACCCCCGTATAAATGGTTTTATTATCCGGGAGGCCTATTTTCACCGGCCAACCAGTGCTACATTTTCCCCCACAAAGCACAAAGTGAACTCTATTTTTC